TTTAACATAACATGTCCAATTTTTCACCCTAAAGTACGAGTTCAGGAAGCCTTAGGCATACATCTCACGGACAGCGCTACACGATTAGACTGCGACTTTTGCGTTTATTTACAAAGATTTGTCCGAGCGAGACACTCCGAATCATTTATTTTTGTTCCATCACTAAGGTAAGTAAAATATTTACGTCTAACGAGACTGGATCCTTATTCAAAAAGTTTCGAATCCCTTCTAGTGGCACTCAAACCAATGGCGTCAAAAAATGGCTAGTTGTTTAAATATATGTTAGCGTTTTGGAAAAGCTTAAGCACACATGAGCTGTTTCGTCCATATCGAAACTCAACAAATGAGTGCTGGAAGTTGGGTGTGCGATGCTTTGATTAGCAGCTGTGGTCCGCTGACCGCAGGAGTTTGCACAGTTGGAGAATGAATTATTTTTGCAGGGTGAATAAGATGTGATATCCGACAGAATCAGTTTTTGACTCATTCGGAAAATCTGGTCACCAGCTTGTTCCAACTGGGTAGTCGTCAGTCTAGACGGCCATCCTTATCATCACCAGGACTTACAAGGAGTCAAACTCAGCGTTATGGGTGTGTTCTCGGGTTCGAAAACATGCGGTCATACAAGACCTTCCGCTCAGATTGCGACTCATCAGGTGGGTGGTCATACGGCCATTCCAGGGGGTCGGTGACTATCTAGAGCAATCTGATCATTCATCATTAGTCAGGTGATTTAAATAAGCCAGCAACTATAGGTTCTACTAGTAGTGGGCAGGTGCCTTCACGATTTTCCCGGCGGCATGTAATTACATAAGCAGACATCAACTGCATACTTAGACTGTGGAAAGTATGTTAGATGCATAGGTGATGTTCCATCTTAGCTGTTGCAGTAAACGGATACACAATAATGTTCACAATAACAAGCATCACCTCCATGGTTTTCGAATGAACACTCTGCAGGGCAACAATAACGTTCTGTATATCAGTTCGCCGTAACTCGCTGACCAGAGAATTCATGCGTGTCATGCGGCCTTTCCAAAAGTCGAACTCTCCATGAGGCCCGTTTTGTTCTCGTTCAACTCTCAATAATTCCACTTCCTTTACTTCCTGAAAACCGAGCAGTCGTAAAGTTGAGGTTATGGTGGGAACATGAGTCAAAATGTGATCAACGTTCACCTTTGAAGCTACTAGTTTAACCATTATGCTATTTTGTGAGTTCAAATCCAACCGCTGAACCATCTGTCAACCATTACAGTGCCAACAAAGGAGGCAAAGAATTCCAAACTGCTGCTTTGTGGATAAAGAGAAATTCAGCCCAATGAAACCTGTTCGCAGTAAAATTGCGAACGTTTGTGTGTTTCCACTTTTCTGAGTGATCAACATGGTACTCAAAGAAAGACGTATCGCTCAATTCAAAGCTCAAAACACTGCCAGGATTACCACTGATTTTGTCTACGCCTACAGAAAAGTGGAATTACGCTTGCCTTTTCGCATGGTGCAAACTGAATGGGAAGTTTTCAACTTTCAACACCAATCCATCCGCTTTCATTGACAAAGCATCATATTAAAAAAATGAAGATACATTGAAATGAGATGAACTAGTTTGGGAGATTTGCGTTTATTTACGAAGATTTGTCCGAGCGAGACACTCCGAATCATTTATTTTTGTTCCATCACTAAGGTAAGTAAAATATTTACGTCTAACGAGACTGGATCCTTATTCAAAAAGTTTCGAATCCCTTCTAGTGGCACTCAAACCAATGGCGTCAAAAAATGGCTAGTTGCTTAAAAATATGTTAGCGTTTTGGAAAAGCTTAAGCACACATGAGCTGTTTCGTCCATATCGAAACTCAACAAATGAGTGCTGGAAGTTGGGTGTGCGATGCTTTGATTAGCAGCTGTGGTCCGCTGACCGCAGGAGTTTGCACAGTTGGAGAATGAATTATTTTTGCAGGGTGAATAAGATGTGATATCCGACAGAATCAGTTTTTGACTCATTCGGAAAATCTGGTCACCAGCTTGTTCCAACTGGGTAGTCGTCAGTCTAGACGGCCATCCTTATCATCACCAGGACTTACAAGGAGTCAAACTCAGCGTTATGGGTGTGTTCTCGGGTTCGAAAACGTGCGGTCATACAAGACCTTCCGCTCGGATTGCGACTCATCAGGTGGGTGGTCATACGGCCATTCTAGGGGGTCGGTGACTATCTAGAGCAATCTGATCATTCATCATTAGTCAGGTGATTTAAATAAGCCAGCAACTATAGGTTCTACTAGTAGTGGGCAGGTGCCTTCACGATTTTCCCGGCGGCATGTAATTACATAAGCAGACATCAACTGCATACTTAGACTGTGGAAAGTATGTTAGATGCATAGGTGATGTTCCATCTTAGCTGTTGCAGTAAACGGATACACAATAATGTTCACAATAACAAGCATCACCTCCATGGTTTTCGAATGAACACTCTGCAGGGCAACAATAACGTTCTGTATATCAGTTCGCCGTAACTCGCTGACCAGAGAATTCATGCGTGTCATGCGGCCTTTCCAAAAGTCGAACTCTCCATGAGGCCCGTTTTGTTCTCGTTCAACTCTCAATAATTCCACTTCCTTTACTTCCTGAAAACCGAGCAGTCGTAAAGTTGAGGTTATGGTGGGAACATGAGTCAAAATGTGATCAACGTTCACCTTTGAAGCTACTAGTTTAACCATTATGCTATTTTGTGAGTTCAAATCCAACCGCTGAACCATCTGTCAACCATTACAGTGCCAACAAAGGAGGCAAAGAATTCCAAACTGCTGCTTTGTGGATAAAGAGAAATTCAGCCCAATGAAACCTGTTCGCAGTAAAATTGCGAACGTTTGTGTGTTTCCACTTTTCTGAGTGATCAACATGGTACTCAAAGAAAGACGTATCGCTCAATTCAAAGCTCAAAACACTGCCAGGATTACCACTGATTTTGTCTACGCCTACAGAAAAGTGGAATTTGCCTTTCCTTTTCGCATGGTGCAAACTGAATGGGAAGTTTTCAACTTTCAACACCAATCCATCCGCTTTCATTGACAAAGCATCATAAAAATGAAGTGAAGATACATTGAAATGAGTCTGTTATAGCCTCAGAGGTGTCGAGGCAAGTCTGCGCAAACCCAGGCATCACAAAATTTCCTATTGAATAAAACTCAGCTTCACATCAAGACATCTCAACTCTCGGCGGATCACACATAAACACCGGGACATGTTTACTTGGAAGCAATATCGAGATCAAAGTGGATAATTCCAACTGATCGTCTTTTCCCACTGTTGCAAGACGAAGGTAATGAGCGTACACAATGCCCATTTGAGTGTGACGGTCTTTGTCCCCAGAGGGTTGAGATCGATTCTAGCCCTCACCTCCATAACGTGAAATTCTTTCTCTTTCCAACAGAAAATGAAACGCGTGTAAAGTGTACAAGCCTCCCGATTGTGGGCATGTGAACTAACAACACAACAAGCTGGGGACACAGGCAATGGAACTTAGCCATCACGGAATTTGGAAACAGTTAAGAGCTGGCTGTATACGGCATTAGCAAAAGCTTGTACGTTTTACCTAGTCATATTTCGGACTTTCAGCAAACTTCCCCAACCGAGAGAACTGTTTAAACTGCACTTCCGCTCATACGAGAAAGGGGAACAGCAACATGGGGGTTTGAAACAAAATGCTGTCCACAGGAAAAAAGAACTATGTGCGTCATTAGTCCTCGCAGTCGTTAAAACATCGGTCCATAAAGATCAGGCACACGTTGTGGACAGACAGAAAATGAGAGCACGTTGACCACTGGATCTTTGAGCCTGACAAATAGAATGAGCATGACAGGACAGTGTACAATACAGACTTTGAAATGAAATAGATTCACAACAATTTTATTGCCCAGTCTATCCTAAAAAACTGTCACTCGAGTAAAATGACTTGTGTCCCAACATAAAATACTGCTTCCTCTTCACTTGTTTATCCTCAATACATAAACGTAGTCGATGGATGGCTTCTTACAAACTCTAATGTGTTTTTGCAGGCTATCGAAGCTGTTTTCTGGATCAAATGTTGCTTGCTCGCATCAACCTGTACGTTATTTGATCAGTGTTCAGGCACTGGAGAATTTCGGCTTTTAGGGAGCGATCTTTTTTTCCCACCTAATTTAAAGGATTTTGCGTGGACATGCGTATAAATAGGTCAATTAACTGTCTAGGTTTTCCAGGTTTCGCTGCCGTGCGGTAGCCCGATGCACTGAAATCCTGATGTCTGTGTGCAAGTGGTGTTTTCACCAGACGTGTTTTGTATGACAACCAAATGCTCTGCTGGCTTTCACACTCCGTGCATTCGGTTCGTTATGAAACCTTGGGACTGTGGACAGCGGGTAATCCAGGTGGCAGAAATCCGAACAGTGCGCCATTTCAAAACCATTCAACAGAAGGACTCCTGACTCCTGGTGTAAGTCGATTAAGGTCAACGACTTAAGAAACTGGGTATTTTAGCCGAAGCGGGGATGTTCCTGGGTCAAATGCTATGATCGTTCACCGGAATTTCGCATAAGAATGTCAAATTAAGACACAATCAACCGATAATGACAGTGTAATTGGTTAGATTGCGTAGTGCCACAGTCGTGAATTAAACAGAGAGTACATTGAAATGATATACCTCTTTTGCAGTGGAAGACAGCTCTATATGTGGGTATTAAATACAGACTGAACAGAGCTGAGAGAACGACAATTTCACTGTAATGCCTAATCATTTCATACTCAGATTTTTACCCATGCTAACAAAGGAAGCATGATTTTTTAACGAGGTTGAGGAAGACGTCTGCAATGGCGAGATATGTATGGTGCTCCATAGCCCACTCCAAATGACCGAGTCAGAAGCTTTGAAACTCACGAGTGGTTTACGGACTGGTTAGCTCGGTTTACAACAGTGTTGTAGTACTCGTCTTGCGGTAAAGATTGATTCAGTTGTGTCTCGGCCACTTCAGAATCTCCAGCAAGCGTTTTTGTCATAAAGCCAGAAACCAATCACTTAAAAAGTAGGAAGCCAAAAAATTGCCTGTTTTGAAAAGAGGACTAGTTTCGCGGTCGTGGCCCGCCTTTCGTTGGGAGTTTCCCCTTTCTACCTAATCCCAGATTGTGCATTAAGGCTGATACATTACCGGCAGTGTCTTTCACTTTGGCTTAAATGTCGCATGGACACCACCCTTTGCGAATGCACTTCCTTTTCCTTATAGATTTCCATCTAATCCGGAACAGCGACGTTAAGCGGGGACACGAACCTCAAAACGCGGTCATATATTGGCAAGACCCCATGTAGAACATGTTGACAAACGTGATAGCCGTAGAACAACAGTGAGAACGCTGTTAACGTACTTAAAAGAAGGCGCCTAAAGTATACAGCAACTGGCGAATATACGCTCATTTGCAAACTAATTTGGTTTTTTTGAGAGACTCATCTGAAACTCAGCTGAATCTCTCGTATGTGGTGCTTCCAGCAACTGAATGTGCTGCACCAGGCCGCCTCATGTTTCAGTCGCTACGGATTTTCAGCAACCTTATGAGTAGTGCATTACAAATATATACACAGCAACTGGTTTAGTAGTATTGCTTTGGAGCCTCCTGTCAGCTGCGTTTGCCTTTGCTCAGTGTGTGGAATGACGTGAGTCACTGCTCCGTCACTAGTAGAACGGTCTCAGTCTCAAGCTGGTACACAGGAGGAATTCCGTGAGCTTGTCCGTTCAATTATTCGCTGGTCGTACTAGGAAGTCTTCAAAGTTGTGAAGCTAACACTTTATGGTGTCTTTCGGACTGGCAATATCGCAGGTGAAGCCGCGGTCTCGCATAGCGTAACGTAGCCTTATTGTTATGAAGTCTATCAAGTCAATCGCAAACACCATGCTGTAGAATGTAAGCTAATGGGGCCTAGCTCAAGTGGGTGGGATTCCGACGTTCGATTGTCACCTTGCCCATGTAAGTATCATTATGTCCATTATCATTATGTTGGATGCGGTCAAGCCGGACACGGTCAAATAGCTGAGTGTGAATCAGTCACCTAACCAGGACTTAATCCGTCGTCCACTCATAAGGTGGTTGAAAACTAGCGAAATACACTCATTTACAAACCAATTAGGCTTTGCGGGAGACTCGCCTAGAACCCAGCCGAATCGCTCGTTTAGGATGTTTTAAGCTGGGTTCTAGGTGAGTCGCCTGCAAAACTAAATTGGTTTGCAAATGAGTGAAGTTCGCTCATGTTGTGCAATCCGGGTTTAAGAATAATATAAGGTTGGCGGAAACTTGGGGACTGCGCCTACCTGATGAGCCCCAAAGAAGGGCGAAACCGATAGTGGGCTGTCGGAGAGTTTTCAGCAAACTCATGAGTAGTGTATTACGTCTATTGCTAAAAACTCTTCGAAAACTCTTCATTTGAAGTGGACCACTATAAACAAGGGATTCAGCTGAATTCAGTTGGGTTTCCTGCGAAACCAAAGGAGAGTTTTCAGCAAACTCATGAGTAGTGTATTACGTCTATTGCTAAAAACTCTTCGAAAACTCTTCATTTGAAGTGGACCACTATAAACAAGGGATTCAGCTGAATTCAGTTGGGTTTCCTGTCGAAACCAAAATTGTGTGTAAAAGCGAAAGCTAATATGTCAAATCGATCAATCAGCCAACGGAGGAAAACAATGCGTCTGCACTTCAAAGCCACCTTCTCAGATAAGAAATAGCGCAACTATGGGCGTGCGTCCACTTTCCCTCCACTTCTGGAACTTCTACAGTGTACGTTCTCACTTATTAAGGGCGTTGGAGCACACCAGTTGATAGATTTGGATAGACGGGCAGGTAGGATTCAATTGAACTTATTGTCCGAAGCAAAAACGAGTAGTTTTAAACGGTGAAATAAAGTGATTTCACAACACTTTCATTAAGACTGGAAATACAAATCTAGAAAAGCTGCCGTCACGACAACACATATTTAATCATACATGGATGACTTTAGGCGAATCACCCTCCAACATCTCCCACGAAAACTTGTCCCGAAAATCATTACCCCCACTCATGGTTACCTAATGTGAAATTCCAAGCCTATCCGCTTAGGTGTTGGCGTTAACGACGCCAAGTTTGAGTGGAATGCATAGACTCTTTCTACCTGCAACTGGTTCAACCTGCATGGGAGTAACAACAAACAACATCTATTATCAGATAATTCTGCATCGTTAGCAGAATATGCTAGTTTATGTTGACAACGGTGGAACTTCACCGACGTTAGCCATTAAATTCTTTCTCACTACTGACCACAGTGGCGACAATTTACCTAAATGGGCCAAGCGAACAGTAATCAGAAAGAACTTAGAAAATACATCCAAGATCAATATCAGGCCTTCGTCTACGGGTACAATTCGATTTCTAGAAGACTGATATTTTGTCAGCTGATTAGTGAGCAAGAGCACCGTAAAAACACCCACTGGTGTTATTTGCCTGGTCAACGATAAAACAGTCATCAGGCACTGGCGCTTTTCCTCACAATGTCAGACCAACAGAAATGTGGAAAACTGCAACACTGCTTGGACTTTCTGAAAGGCTTAAATTTTGATGATTGGTTTGTAGAATTTCAGGGATAAGGCTGGTATCCTCTCTTTCTACCTCTGTTTACGAAATGTCATATTAATTCAATTTTACTGGAGGCAGTTATCACGAGAAAGCTGCAGCGGGAGGGAGTTATCCTACTGCACCACTTGTTCTGATACCTTGACAGAAAGAGGATTGCGCGGGGTAAAGTTGTAATGGGGAATAGAAAAGGGAAATTGTCTACGCAAGTACACAGTTGACGAAAAGCAAGGATTCTGTCATTACGAGTTATGGCTTACAGGTACCATACTATACTATACCATGATACAGGTCCGTTATCTTAGTTCAGTCAAGTGTTTCCTCATTAAATATGGAGCAGATGAGGTGCATACCTCACGCTTCTATCTGGCATGCTGCGTGATGCTGGTAAATGATGAAGGTGGATCTTGATGATTCGTTCTCAGCAAATCAATCTCGTCGCTGGCTTTTATTCCAGCTGAACCCATAATAGCTGTTTAGACATTAGATCCTACTGGCTTTCCAATGCACTTAGGATCTGATTAACCAAAAAGTTTCTTTTAGATACGGTTTTTGATTTTCTAGCCGCATTCTCAAGTGGCTAAGTGTTTACTCTTCCCTTGAATGAGTCCACTTAGTAAGCGGCGTCCACTCTACAACGAACTACATGCTTGTTTTTCAGCTTCTCTGCCGTTCATGCTCACTAGTCCCAGTAAACTGGTTTCCAATTTCTTATGCCAGAGAAACTCGAGTCCAGTGTTTCCCTTTGGTGTGGACTCACTAGAAAAATTACACCAGAACAGGAGGATGACCGTCCAAACGAGAGTGGTGTGAATATGAACAAATTACAGAAATAGTGGGAGAAACAACATTAAAAAACATATCTTTCTTCGTACTACAGCTTATTACACAGTAATAACGCAAATGGGAGCTTATTCGAATGCCCATTCCCTTGAGAATACATAATCTCATCCCTCTATAGGGATGAGATGCGTGCTATACCTCCGAGGGAGGATGAGGTTCTCGAGAATTCCGTTACTTCTCTCTAAAATTTCGTCCTCATATCATATGTATTGGTTGAAACTCATTGCCCTGAAAAGGTATAAATGCGTAAATCGTTACACTGCTGGTGGTGTGACTTCATCTTGCGGTATGCTCTCCATCTTAGTCATTATTATTAAATAAGGATTTGGAAGTCTAAACAGGCACAAGACGGAGATACTTCGTTAATTAGCAGGAGACAGATATGCAACTAAGTGAGCATATAAATGTACGATAGGAAAAGTGTTGTGCAGATATGGCGTTGTCATCGTACAGTGAATCTGGCTAGCCACTGTTAACTATATCCACCATACTGGGGACCATTCATTCATCTTGACCTTACTAAAACCCATCCGGGACAAGCAACCTATACAAAACAGAGGGCGTGTGATTGTTTATATCAACTGGGTATCAGAATATGGCGTGAAGACCACACTGCTCCCACTGAGTTCTTCTGACGCCTATAGCATGGTTTTCACCGGTATGGCACACAGTTACCACGAATTTGCTCTACTTTTAGAACCATCTCTCGAATGAGACGTCTTGTGGTTGGTCTTTTTTAACTTTGACTGGTTAGGTATCTCCTGTAAGAGACCATGCTGTGAAATAGATCATATTTATTGGAGCCTTAGAAGATGATATCCTAAGAGTGAACAACTTTACCCCACTAGCCTGGAAAGACTGAGCAGCAGTAACCTCCTCTCAAGTTGTAGTTTTTTAAATTAACACGACTGTACATTTATCCTCCCCCAAGAGGCCGCTTCAACGGACCAAACGAAGGTGTTCCTTTTGTAAATTGATTTTTTATGGGTGCGAACTAACTCACCATGGCTGGAAATTGATCTTCGTTAAAGGTTGGGGGTCGCCTACTCTACAAAAACTACGTATTTTGTCTGGCCACGCTTAATTTTGAGATGGTCGCATCAGGGGCCACCTGGTTTGAGTAGATAACTGATACGTTCATGGTCGCGCTCCAAAAAGGATTCTACCGCGAATGATTTACCCGTAAAATGGAATTATGAAGTATGATGAAGTATTGGTGAAATATTCCCTTATTTCATGGTGCTGAGCACAGATGCCACGTTGGCGGGAGCTCTGTGCGCAGCGTGAGCAGATATGGTGGTCCAACCGAGAGATAAAACATCTCTGCAAGTAGTCATAGCTTTTTAGGGGACCCTTTCATGCTTCATCTAAATTTTCCAAAATTAAGGAGGCCACCTCTCGACACGAATCACGAATCATATTTCGGCCAAGCCCCCACCCTGAAAAAAGCTCAGCTACTGTGTTTATCAAACAAGCAAACAGGAGGGCTAACTGGACGCTAGTGCAGCCGGTATGAAGCAGTTGTCTGGCGACTGTGAATCCCTAAGGGATGTATCGATTTCCTCGGCAGTTTTGTCCTAAACCCAGTATCTCAGCTTCACTCATATGTATATCGTATCCCAATCACTGTGAAATCGAGTCAAGATCTCAGTGGTGCTTGATAGTGCGGCTGGCCGTAAACAGCCACAATGGGGCTGTGAGCACCGGGGGCGTCCAGCCCTAAAGCGTAAAAATAATCAAGCATTGTTCATTATTTTATCAGAGTAGCTACGATCCAAAGGCACGAAACTAGCGCTGTCATCTTACATAAAAATGGTTGGTCGATCCTGGATAAAATCCACATTAATGGCCAGCCTATCAGTACGTGTTACAAAAAGCAGGTCCACCACCTTCAATATAGAAACCCTTCTTAATGTAAACACTTTTTTCCTTGGACCGATTTGTATGGTAAAGCAAAACAACAAAACTACTCACTTCGTCAATTTGACGCATCCAATGTGACGCGCTTTCCTCAAGATAGTTAACGAAGTCAGGATGTCGAGACAATTGAATTAATCCTTCTGCATCCATATTGTGCACTTGATCTGGCAGTTTTGAAGGCGGCAGCAAAACCCGTTCTTTCGAACAGGCAATTATGGCTGAATTTGAAATGAATGGAGAAATGAACGATATCTATGGCCCTGCTTCGCGTTATTTTTATTCGATAATATTAAGTAAATCAAGACTGTACCCGGGACAAGTGACTTATTTCTGCTAGGTTCAACATCACTCTAGTCATCGCACGACATCAAGTGTTTATTTCACTATGCGTATTGTGCCAAACTGTGTTGAAGAGTATGTTCCCAGAAGTTGATAATATGTAGTCTGTTCTTTCTAGTTTACGTAACCCACATGTGTCGGTTTTTAGCAAGATAACTTTTGTAGCGTATCCAAAATTTATCAAAATAAGAGATTTGATATCTGAATTAACATGATTTCCAGTGTTGATTGGGATCTGTACAATTTGACGTGCCCTTCGGGGAGATGTGCGTTGCTTGAAATTAATGGCATGGAAGGAAGTAATTTCAATCACGAATATGTCTCAAACCGTCACGCATCAGGGCATCTCTTTTGAAAATGTGGATATGCACGTGGGAACAACGCGTGCATCTAAACTGCTTAGGAAACGTGCGCGGCGCGACATTTGGTTAATTGGCGTTAGTCAGCTCATTTGCATGACCGTCAACAAACAGGGGTTTTTAGGCTGCATTTTAAGCCGTATCAAACAGGCGTGTCTCAGTGTTACTCACACGAACGCAACAGACACCGTACCATTTTACACCCATTATGACCGGTCGATTCTGGAAAAGTAGATTGACTTCGTGGCTGATTGATTGGTAGACGGACGACACCATCGGTGCACTGAAGCTACAAGCAACAAGCTGAAATGTTTACACGACGGTGGCGTATATGATTCATCCGAAAAGCGCCGCATCGTACCTAAGGGAAGAACTGCTTGGTGTATATTTTTACCGAAAATAACATGTGAAACACCTACTGACTTGCGAGAACAATGCATTCTGATAGAAATTCAGTTCATAGAAGATTATACCTATAGAAATAACTGAACGGTTCTGCATCTTTTAGCTGCCTAGAAGCCAATATGATCTGGAAAACATGACCTTTGAACACAGTCAACACAAGGGAGTGCAGTTCGAAAATTTGTGGTGATAATGATGGGTTAGGAGAACTTAATACAACTGACAAGTTATAGAACATTTTTGCAGCTGAATATGTACAGTTTGTTGAGCTGGTTAGGGTAAATACTTTTAAGAGTGGTAGATGAACAAAGACGTCAGTGTATACTGAGTGCAACACTGAATAGCACATAAGCTTAGCTTTTGTCGCTCCACCATAGTTGTCGGGGTCAGTAGTTTTCAATGAAGCTCTGGTAGGACGAGAATTCTCGCGCTACCGTCTTATGGTGCATGAGCGTTAACCTAGCCAACTGAGGTAAAATTTCAGGTTGTTCTGCGGAAGTACCAGACAAAAAGTGCTCCGAAGGAACGTAGAAAATATAGTTGAACGTGACGCTCATGGTGTCTTCCAGAGTTCAACATGGTTCTTAATTTATACAGGAAGTGAGTGAAACAATTCTGGTTTGCTGGCAGGATCGGCATCAACAGCATTCAGCTAACACTACTGAAAGAAGACTAGTGCCTGGTCAGGAATAAGATATGTCAGGAATGAGATATGCATGTTGCTCAGTGTTGTTCCCTGACATTCACAAGGAAAATGAATGTGATATTGTTGTGATTGTGATTGTGATTGTGATTGTGATTGTTTCATTACTTGGTGAATTATATGATCTCCAGAGGTTTTTTCTGGCATAACGGTAGCCGTGCGGTTGATTGTTAGATGTCTCCTAGAGGCTTTATACTACGTCACAGGCTAGATGGTTTGTGTGCAATACGATGCTCTTCTCCAGCGGACTCCCCAGTATCTTAGCACTTTCTGAAGTCCAAACGAATCCCTGAGTAGACCATTCATTTGAATTACCTTTTTGTCACATCAAGCTCTGCTCTTCCCACTTTAGACAAAGGTTGAACTTATTACAGGAATAAGGAAACGTTCTGTTCACTACCGAAATTCGCAATCGTATAAAATATACCGCGACGAGGATTCATCAGTTATTTGTAATAAGTTCAACCTTTGTCTAAGTGGGAAGGAGCAGAGCTTGATGTGACAAAAAGGTAATTCAAATGAATGGTCTACTCAGGGATTCGTTTGGACTTCAGAAAGTGCTAAGATACTGGGGAGTCCGCTGGAGAAGAGCATCGTATTGCACACAAACCATCTAGCCTGTGACGTAGTATAAAGCCTCTAGGAGACATCTAACAATCAACCGCACGGCTACCGTTATGCCAGAAAAAACCTCTGGAGATCATATAATTCACCAAGTAATGAAACAATCACAATCACAATCACAATCACAATCACAACAATATCACATTCATTTTCCTTGTGAATGCCAGGCAAAAACACTGAGCAACATGCATATCTCATTCCATTCTGACAAATAATAACTTGACGATAATAATATCATTTAGAGATGGCGACCAGGAAGAATTCGGTCAGTGGGGAAATGGGGGGTTTATGGCATGTAGAATAAAGCTAACAATGGAATACATATACTGGGTGAGGGGAACTAATTTAACTATTATAGTCAACATAAGGAGAATAGCTGATGGAAAATGAACACAGAAGAACGAGTTACACAAACAGATAAAGTCAAAATGAATTTGTTTGGTGGCGAGTACCATGTCACTGACATATTAGAGCTTACTCTTGTATTATTCACCAATTACACTCATTTGCAAACAAATTTGGCCTTGGTGAGAGACTCAGCTGCAACCAACTGAATCTCCTGTGTATGATGTTTTCCATCAACTAGGTTTGTTTCAGAATGTCGCTTATGTTTCAGTTGATACGATATTCGAAATATTGATATGTTGACATTTTCTTGAGGAAGTACAACACTCATAAGGTTGCCTGAATTATTAGCTAGCTAATCAGGTGATGTATTCCAATGCATGCAGAATGCGGGGTCTTTAATATTGACTTACTCGAAAGGCTTCTCAGGTAGTTCTCCACGTAGTCAAGGTAACCATGCCGTTCTTCATGATTCAAGTTGCCAAAATACAGACTTTGAGCCCACATTAACGGCAAAACCGATGTTTTCATAAATGTATGCAGCTGCTGGAGGAATCCTTCATTCACTTCAAACTTGCAGGCAAAGACATCCTGTATGTGAAATTATACCCGAAATGCGGCATATCAGCCTGATGAATGAGGCACACTTATTCAATGGATGAATTTATCGAAGGTTAGTGTTTAGCAAAATCGTATGTACTGCTACCAGTTTCCTGGTATGATGATGACAGACAGCTAAAATGACTCTGAGTTATGTATATTCACAAGAAGACAACGGCGAAGAGAGTTAATAAAGCCTGTATTTGAACGAGGCATGGTTTCGCTTTTCAGTGCTACCGGAGGACTCCATCGGTTAGATTTGTGTGCCACGAATACTTCACAGCTATGGGTTGCCTGGTTACAGTTTGAAAATTTTGTGAGCCTCACGGCAAATTTTGATGGCAATGCGAAGTAGAACGTAATGGTTCGGGTTAAATCTTCAATGAAGAATGTAAAGTTTCGCGACTGATGAAGGGGGAGATGATTTTCTCGCCAAAGACGACCTCTGTTCACGAAAACATGGATCCTGAGCCTCTGTGGAACGCATCAAGCTGTCACAAGTAGTGCTGACGTATGCAAATATCAGCTCGCTGAGTACGAGTTTATTCTGTCCATCTCCTTTTTATTACTTGGTGTCAGTGACCATCCACGTATTGTTTTACCTTGAAGTACTGGTAATATCCCAAATTCGAAGATATATATATATATATATATATATATATATATA